TCAGGGTGCCACACTGATGGTACCACTCCTCTCCAGCGCAGACAACTCGACCCACAGTGCTGACACCTCCAACAAGTTTGTGTTTGGCCAGAACATGAGTGAGCGTGTCTTGGTGAGTGGCCCTGGTGCTGTTACCTCGTGCCTGTTCCCACTTGGGGCACACGGCACGTGGCTGCCATGCTGTCTCCTGTACAGTCAGGACAGGATTCTCAGGTACAGGGATGAGAGAGACCAGCTCACATTCGCTACAGGCTTCGGTTGCCCACAGAGGCTGCAGAGGGCTGGCTTCACCCTTCTTGTCTTTACTCTCCACTGACCTAGGCGTCCCTGTGGCCAGGGCCAGCTGGGATGAACATCAGCTGTCGTACTCGCCCCAAAGCTACACCACTGAGACAGGTGGCCTGTGTCCCTGTCCACAGAACCAGCCATGCCTGCCACTTCTGCAGGACGGGGGCAGCCAGGATAGCAGGCGCCTGCACACTCCCTGCTTTCCGAACACTTGTAGCCCAGGATGCAGAGCCTAGCATCTCTCGGCCATTTTCTCCTTCCGGTTGGGCATGCAGCCCCACCATGGCATCCACAAACTCTGGTCTTCCCCCCTGTTGCCTGGCAAGGTCACCATGTTGCAGCCTCCTCCTGTTGGTCTGCCACAGTGTGTTGTCACAGAACTCCCCTGTGGTCCTGAAAGGAGGGCCTGACTAGGCATGGCTGTTGAGGACAGGCCCCTGCAGGGTGCGCAGGAGTCGGGCCTCCGGGAAGTGCTGAGTGGCCGTCCCTGCTGGGCCTCTCACTCTGTCCTCAGCACCCACAGCAGCTCCGCCCTGGCACGCTTGTTTCCTCAGAGCCCCCCCAAGCTGAATGAAGCCAGTTCAGATGCCAGCAGGGAGACTACGCATGCCCAGTCAGGGTCTGAGCCATCGTCCCAGGAGGCTGCCCCCAAGAAAGGTAGGGCACAGCTCTGCACACACCTCACAGACTCCCACCACCAGGCAGGACAGCTGTGACCCCAGTAGACACGAGAGGTCGGCCTGAAGTGCCCGGGATGGATGGTGGGTGGCCTTGCTCTGCTGACCAGGACAGGACTCCTCAGATCCCTGGGAGTCCCAGGCCTACTGACGCTTCTTTGTTGGGTTCTCTCTATGCAGAGTCACTGGCTGAGTCAGCCGCTGCCTACACCAAGGCTACAGCGTGGACATGCTTCCTGGAGAAGGTGGAGGTCATAACGGGGGAGGAGGCAGAAAGCAACGTGCTGCAGGTGAGACCATGCGTGGTGAGGCAGGCTTGCCAGGAGTGATGCCAGTCTGGGCTACATACAGCAAGACCCCTCCTTCCACAACAACAAAATGAATCTGGGCATGGTGGCGCATGCCAGCACTCAGGAGGCAGAGGCAGGCAGACCTCTGTGAGTTCAAGGCTAGCCTGGGCTACAGAGAGTGCCAGGCCAACCAGGAACTTTTTTGCCCCAAGGAAACCAAAATGAGTTGCATAACCATTGTCACAGTTTGACAGGAGGGTCTCAGCCGTAAATAAGGCCCCATCCCAGCGAGCTAGCACCCTGGCACCCACGCCTTCCTCATCTCTAGTTCCCAGTTCAGGACGTTTCTTGTGGCGTCCCCCATGTGTGGAATTTCATCCTGGCTTTGTCACTGAGCTTGGTGTCCTTAGGTCTGTTGTTTCTGTTCCCTGCGGTGACACTAAGGGCTGCATGGCACCAGGGAGCTGATATGTGGCCTCTTTCTGCTTTGGAACTCTTATAAGCAGTGACACATGCGTGTTTGTGAGGACATTTACTTGCTTTCTGGGTGGGCAATGGAAGGACTGCCATGCTGTGGTCTCCCCCAGCACGGTAGGATGTCCCTGCAGCCAGGCAGCTCATCACAGCACCCAGTGCTCCTTCGCTGTGGAAACGAGGTGGCATCTCTGTGTGTTTGGATTTTCCCCTGGTTTACACACTTGAGCAGGGAGCATGGCTCTGTGGTAGAGCCTAGCATGCAGGAGCCTGGGTTCCATTCCCGGTCCCACAGAAATCAAACCTATAAATAGATGACGGGATAAATAAAGCTGGGCACTGGCCGTCAGCATCCTGGCCATAGCTTGTGGACCTGGTAGCCAGGTGGGATAATCAGATACCCCAGCGTCACTGGTAGCTCTTGACTTGAAGTGGAGCCTGAGCTTTGTGAGGCACAGAGGGCAGGCACTCTTACCCACTCACCGCCGACCCCATGTGTTACAGATCCAGTGTAAGCTGTTTGTGTTTGACAAGACCTCACAGTCATGGGTAGAGCGTGGCCGGGGACTTCTCAGGCTCAACGATATGGCGTCGACTGACGACGGCACGTTACAGTCCCGGCTGGGTGAGCACTGGGGAAGTATAGACCCTCCTGGAGGTGGGCTGGGGTCACACCAGACCAGAAGTGTGGTTTCCATAGCTGGGGCAGGGGCATGGCTGTGAGCAGGGCTACCAATCCCCACTGTGAGCCTCCGGCAGCCTGGCAGCAGTAACGCCAGCCTGGGCTTCAGCGTGTAACCCCAACTCAGCAAAACCAGAGGACCCAGAGGGTTGTGATCCCTCAGAACGGGGGGCTGCTCACGCGTCAGAGCTGCCCTCCTCCTGTTCCGGGGACTTTGTGGAAATGGTCTCATTCTGTAGCCCAGGCTAGCCTGGAGTCCACTGCAAGCCTGCCATACCCATGTTTGACCTCTTCCAAAGACAAGGGAGCTTCTTTCTTGTTTGGTTATATTCCCAATAAAAGTCAGCTTAAGCCCAGAATTGGGAGGTGTGGCAGGAGGACTGCTGTAAGTTCAAGGCCAAGCCCGGGCTACTGAGATCCTGCCTGCCACAAAAAAAACAAAAGTTGATGGAAACCTCTGCAGTCCTACTCTTGGCAGGGGCGGTCTGTGAACCGTGAGCCTGTACACACGGGGTAGTTTGTGCTTTCTACCCATGGCAGGTAGCAAGCCACCTTGGTGAGGCTTTAGTCCTAGAGCCTCAGATGAGCGCCTGGCTTCTGGGTGGGGAGAGTTGGGACCCTCCTCACACATGTGATGGGCTTGGGCTTGGTCCTCAGGTGGGTGCTATGAGAGCGCTCCTGGCCAATTCCAGACCATCCCCCTCCCCGCAAGGGCAAGGCTCCCCTGGCTCCCCTGACTCCCCTGGCCCTTCCCTTCCGGATGGATGTGGGCTGTAGGTTGGGGCAGGCGTGTAGCTAAGCGGCCTCCTTGCTGCAGTGATGCGGACCCAGGGCAGCCTGCGGCTCATCCTGAACACAAAGCTGTGGGCACAGATGCAGATGGACAAGGCCAGTGAAAAGAGCATCCGCATCACAGCCACAGATGCCGAGGACCAGGGCGTCAAGGTCTTCCTGATCTCGGTGAGCTCGGGAAGGCTGGGGTGGAGCACTAGCTCAGTGCTGGTCTCTGTGCTGATGTCACCAGCAAGGACACACACCTCCCTGGGCAGCTCCTGATAGCTGTGTGGGGCACCATGCTGGCCCCTCTGCTGCACATTGCATGTACAAGGATGAGAGACCCCTCTCCGGCCTTACTCCAGGGGCCTTCCAGCACCTGGGGCGGTGGTAGGCCCTTGTCGGCGAAGTCGGCTGGCCCGGCCAGCGTGGCTGCCGGCCACACACTGCCACCTCACACACTGTCTCCCCAGGCCAGCTCCAAGGACACTGGCCAGCTGTACGCAGCACTGCACCACCGCATCCTGGCACTGCGCAGCCGTGCGGAGCAGGAGCAGGAGGCCAAGGTACCCGCACCTGAGCCAGGAGCCACCCGGGCCGCCGAGGAGGAAGACAGTGATGAGGATGCAGTGCTGACTCCCTCAGGGGTCACTCCCTCGGGAGCCGGTGAGCAGCATGGGACCTGTGGGAGGGACCCAGCTGTCCGTGGTGGCTGTGTGCTGGGTCTGAGGGACCTGCTCTTCCCACAGGCCCAGGTGACGAAGGGGATGACCAGACTCCTGGGAGCACATAGCAGCGGAGCCACTGCGTCAGGCTGCTGCTTTGTCGTCTGTCCGCTGCCCGTCCCTCCCTGCAGGCCGCGTCATGGTGGTGTCTATTGCTGGGGTGGCCACAGGCTGGATCCGCGTGTCCCCTCTGCAGCACATGGGGATGCCAGGATGTGGCTTGGGACTCAGACCTCATCATATTGATGAGCAGAAAGAACGCTCCCCGCCCTCCTCCTCCGATCGAAACGGCACATTGACACTTGTCACCGCTTCCGCTGGCTCAGACCTGGCCTGGCCCCCCAGCCTTGTGGTGGCCGTCTCTCCTTCTCGGGGCAGCAACAGTTCAAACTCCGGGCTCAGCGTTCTGTTGAGAGCACCTGCTGTCTGCTGGCTTCCCGCTCTGCCAGGTCCATGTGGCTAATGCCTCTCGTTGATTCTGATGACGTGGCTTTCACGGGCCTGGATGGAGCTGCTCATGGGCTGAGCTGACTGGTCCCTGTGGGTGGCGCCCAGCCCCCACAGCGAACCCCTAAGTTTGGGCCTGAGAACACCTGTCTAGACAACGGTGACAGGCCCCAGGAGGGTTCTTGCACTCTTGCTCACCCACACCACCTGGGCCTCCTTAAGCAGGTACCCAGCGCAGCACGGCCCTGAGGTAACTGACCATCGAGGGCCCCTGAGAGGCAAAGGCCCTCGGCAGAAGACGACGCCCCCACCCGTGGACTTTGTGGTTCCATCTCTGGCCAGGGAGCCAGCAAGGACGCCAGAGGCTGCCTGGCAGATGGGTCACACTCTGCTTACAGCCTTAGCCAGCCAGTGACAAGTGACTCCAGACGTCGCCCATGTGTTTTGGAACATTTATGTAAGATTGTCATATGAAATGTATTTGAGAACTGCATTAAAACTTTTAACTAAAACCCTGGCCTTCTGTGCACCTGGCAGCCAGATGAGCTGGGTGTGGCCATGGGGGCCCCTGATGGGGTCAGTGATGAATCCAGGCCTTCGGGTGCCCCTGAGGAGACCTGGTCCAGCCGGTTCTTCAGCCTCCCTTCTCACACATTCCCCTCCCTGTGTCTAGTTGGGGCCCCAGGACAGTGGTAACAGGGTAGCAGGTGGGTCAGGGAACTAGGCTAAAGGCAGCTGCTAGGCAGGTGAGGGCTGCCATGTCAGAGGCGCCAGGCACTGCTCACCATGGCCACGAACTCTGAGTCTGTATCCATTGAAGCGCTGAGTCCGCTGTAGTAGTCTTGGAACTCAGCTAGTGTGACCTGTGGGGGTGCACGCTGTGAGGGGGTGCACGCTGTGAGGGGGACCCAGGCCAGGCATGCTGCCCCTGTGGGAGGTACCAAGTGAACACACCTGCCCATCCTTCTCCAGTGTGTCAAAGTTGTCGAGGAATTGGTGGAGGGCTTCATCCTCCGTCCACTCTCCCCTGCGCACCTTGGGGTGAGCCCGGCCACTGTATACCCCTCGCAGGTCATCCACAGTCACCACACCATCGCCAGTCCGGTCCAGCTTGGCAAAGGCAGCTGCAACGATAGCTTCCCGGGCTTGGGACATGGGGGGCTGTGGGAGGGGACAGTGATTGAGGAGCGGGTGCTGGGACTGGGACTCCTCACCAGCCGCTCCCTCCCTCGGCCTCTGAGGCCAGCCTCACCCGTAGTGCCCGCAGGAACTCCTCCAGGTCCAGTGTCCCGCTGCCATCACGGTCCCAGCGCTTGCACAGCGCCTCCGCCTCTGCCTCCCCCACCTCCAGCCCCAGCTGTCCCAGGCCCTGCCTCAGCTCCCCTGCATCCAGGGACCGGCTGTCATCCTTGTCCAGGCGGCGGAAGAACCTGGGGATCAAGATGGGGCTCCATGGATGGGGGCTGCCCAGGCCAGAAGGCGCTGCGTGCACTGGGGGTGAGGGCTCACCTGGCCAGGCCCTGGATGCCCAAGGCCCCTCGGGACAGACACTGAGCCCTCAGCCTCTCCATGGTGGCGTTGACGGTGTCCATTGCGAGCACAAATGAACAGCTGCAGAGGCACAGAACTCCGAGTGAGTTTCCGTACTCAGTCGGCCTGGCACAGAGCGGGTGATGCCACACGGCCCAAGAACACCCCCAACCACTCACCTGGCTTGCCCGTGTCCCTGAGTCTTGCCTGTGGAGCTCCAGGGAGGTCTGTGCGTCCTGCCTGGCACAGCTGTTGCTAGGCAGTATGGCTCTGGGGACTGGGAGGGGCCCGGCTGTAACTCTATGTCAAGCACATTAGCCAGCCTAGAAGGTCAGGTGCTGTGAGTGAGTCCACGGTAGCTTCAAGCCTGACTGGAGACTTGGGGCACACAGCTGTCCCACTCTTGACTACATGGGATAGCCCGGCCAAATCGAGTCGAGGGCTAGTTGGACATGGTGGCACAGGCTTATCACCTCAGCTCCCCAGCTGTCTAGACTTGAGGTGAGGACATAGCTGAAAGTCTGAAGCCAAGTTGGGCTGCAGACTGGAACTTCATTAAAAACTAATAAAACCCGGGGCCTGGTGGTACATGGCTGTAATCCCAATGCGCAGGAGATGGAGGGGCAGGAGTTCCAGGCTACGAGACTGTCTCAAAGTCAAAAGAAAAATTATCCATGGGTTTGCAAGCCAACCAGTGTCATGATTCAGTTCATGAGAAGCTGAAGGGACATTTTGCTTCCCAAATGGATGGCCTGTTGTGCTCAACACACTGGCAAGTAGCAGGAAAATAGCTCATTGTTTTCAGTTTTGGGTTCTGCGTATGGAACCCAGAGCCTTGGCAAGTCAGGCAAAGTGCTAAGTCACTCCCCAGGCACCGCTGCTTTTCTACAGACCAATGTAAAATAGAATTAAGAGTTGCTGGGAGTGTTCCTTTTCACGGTCTGGGGTAGAAGCCCGGATCTAATCCAGGGCCCAAGAAAAGGCTGGGAGTAAACCTCACCGTCACAACTCCCCCACCCCTAGAGTCCCCAGGGAGGGGCTGGGGGCGTGGTCAGGGTGGAGCCCCGCCCCTAGAGTCCCCAGGGGTGTGCGGGGGCGTGGTCAGGAGTGAAGCCCCACCTATAACCCCCCAGTGAGGGCCTGAGAATGTGGTCAGAGTGGAGCCCCTGCCTAGTAGGGGACTGGGAGGCGGGACTTGGGTAATGGGAGTTTCAATATGCTCCTTGTCCCCTAAATTGGAAGTGGCTTTGGGCGTGTACGCAGAGCAGTTTCCCTTCACTTTGGCCTGAGTTTCCTCGACTGTCACTGGGAACAGCCTGTGCACTGAGCTGCAGGGCGCCTGACTCCACCCCACTCGGATGTAAAACCGTCCAAGGAGGCCGGCAGTGTCCTACTCAGTCCCCACAACAGGAAAGACAGCAGCCCAGGCTTAGGAATAACTGGTTTATTCTAGTGCAGACAGGCCCTAGGCCGCCTCCCCTGTACAAACAACTCCCTTCTCCCCTGTCTCCTCTGCTGAGGGTCCCAGACAGGAAGTCAGCACCGTCCAGGGTTCAGGGACCAGCTGGCTAGAGCCCCTTCCGGTTGGAGCAGCCCCTAACTTCCCTCCTGGTGGCTGCTCAAGGGCAATTCCTTGAGCTTGGGGGACCATGAGACTCAACAGACCAACCACCGGTTGCAGCGGTGTGTGGGGGCCCTTTCCCTCACTGCTCTAACGAAGGCAACACACCCTCACCTTGGTAGGTCAGGGACAGCATTGAAACCAGGAGTTAAAAAATAGATTCTCTTAGGGTATCAAAAGGAGACTTGCTACAAAAACACCATTGTCCCCAGAACAGGACAGGGCTCATCAGATGTCCAGGAGGCTCCTGGCTGTTCGGGGCCTCACCGGCTGCGGCAGGCACTGATGTAGACAGGAGGCAGGAGGACCAGAAGTTCAAAGCCAGCCCAAGCTACATAAAAAGTTAGAGGCCAGCCTGGGCTACACAAGACTATGTCTCAAAAAGCCAAACCATCACAGTGGAGGGCAGCGACCAGGCTGTAGGAACAACTACAGGGACGCTGGCCAGAGGCCCTCTGGAAGGGGGCATTTGAGAAACCTGAGTGTCAAGGGGAAAGCACGGAGGCACAGGGAACAGACCGTGCAGAGGCCCTGAGGCAAAGGCTGAGGTTTTCATGTGGTGTCTTGACCTGCCTGCTCTCCCCAGAGAGAAATTAAACAGATCCAGGACGATGATTTGTCTTCTTACACAGAAGCAACAGAATGTGAAATAAAGAGGAGAATCTGCCCTGGATGAGGGATGACGGTTCAGAAGGCATAAGAGTAGAAAGGGGGATCACATCAGCGGGGCTGGTGGCTCACACCCATATTCCAAGCACTTGGGAGGACTGTGGGTCCCAGGGAAGCCTAGGCTATGGAGGGAGACCCCATCTCATAGCAAAAATAAAAACAAAAAGCCCAAAGAAGACAGGGCCTGGTGGTGGGTGCCTGTCATCCCAGCAGAGCTCAAGTCACCCTCCTGAGATAGCAAGTTAGAGGCTAGCCTAGGCTACGTGGGACCCTGTCTCAAACAGGAAACAGCACAGCTTCAGAGTCAAACTGAGATGAGGGGTCAGACTCCCATTACTTCACCAGTGCTGGGACGGCAGGTGTCCGTCTGTCAGGCTGCCACCACGCCTGTGCATGATAGGTGGGGGGCTCTACCCCTGAGACACCGCCCCAGCCTTCTTTGTTTTGGGAATTATTCAAAATCAACTGAATGTAGCAGATACCCCAAACACTGGGGAAAAAAACGTTTTAAATGAGATCTTGGCCTTTCACTTGTTTTGATGTTCAGATGGGATCCCAGTAATGTCCCAGGTCTCCTCCGGGACACTGGTGATGTCCAGGGCTCTGGACCTTGGCCACACATTCTGAGATCTGAACCGCCAGGGCAGCTCACACAGTGGTCCCAAACACGGCAGGCTGAAGCTTGTCCTGGCCCTCCTCCCCAGTGCTGTTGCTCAGGGGTGGGCCAGGCCCATCGGGAAGTAGCTGGCCCTGGTTGCCGGCCAGCAAGGGGCCCAGTCGCTCAGCCTCCTCCAGGGCGGCCAGCAGCCCAGCCAGGGGTGGTCGCCGGCGAGCGATGTCCTGCAGCAAGTCAGCCCGGGGCTGCAGCTGCTGGATCATCTGGTCCCTCTGGTCCACTGCGGCCTGCAGGCTTCGGACGGCGGCTTCAGAGCTCAGAAGCTGCTCTTGGAGGGCAGAAATCTCCCTGGTGAGGGGGCCAGAGGAGGCAGTTAGGACTGGGGTGGAGGGTCTGCACCTACCTACGCGGCAACCCTCAGAGGCTCCCTGGGTCCCTCCTCCACTGCCTTTTATTTGCTTGTATGCATGTTCACGTGCCCACATGGAAGTTGGGGTACAGCCTGCAAGAGTTGGTTCCCTCCTTATATCCCATGGGATAAAATTCTTCATCTTTTTGTTTTGTTTTGAGACAGGGTTTGTCTGTGTAGTTCTGGCTGCCCTGGAACTCTTACTGTAGACCAGGCTGGCCTGGAACTCATGGAGATCCTCCTGCCTCTGCCTCCCATTCTTAGTGGCAAGTGAGTGCCCTTACCCACAAAGCCATCTCCACTGCGTTGGTAAAGGACCCCAACCCCACAGTATGCCTGGAGCCAGGGTTCATCCCTAGCACACCTGTCATCCCAGCCCTCCAGAGGTGGAGGCAGAAGGATCAGGAGTTGAAGGTTATCCTTGGCTAACAGCGCCTTCAAGGCCAGCCTTCTGGGGGGGGGGGGCAAAACAAACCGGGGCTGTGGTGGCGCACGCCTTTAATCTCAGAACTTGGGAGGCAGAAGCAGGCGGATCTCAGTGAGTTCTAGGCCAGTGTGGTCTACAAAGAGGATCCCAGGGCAGCAGAAATCCTGTCTCGAAACACCAAACCAAACCAAAACAATGCCAGTTTTGTGTCTCCTTCAGTAGGACTTCCCCGTGGCCCAAAATGGTTGCCACAGCTCTGACTACTCTATGTGTGCTCCGATATCAAGGCCTCGGGTGCTCTGTGCCTCTGTCTACATTTGGGCTCCTACCCAGCAGCCCCTGGGACATGCTCTTCTCTCCACATCTCCTCCGATCCTCAGGCAGCACAAAACTCTCAGGGCGGGCAGTACAACGGGATTAGGCCTTGCGGGACAGCTGGCCCCGTTTGAACAGTTTGAGACACTCATGTAGCCCAGGCTGTACTCTTAACTTCCCCTGTAATCGAGGCTGGACTCGAACTCCTGTTCTTCCAGCCTCAGACTCCTCAATGCTGCGATGCCAGGCACGTACAGCTCTGGAGATCTTTGCTCCTGGTCCCCAGCCCTTGCCGCCCGCCTCCTCCGCGAAGTCTGCCGGGCTTCCCTCCCCCGCTCCCCGGGGCCTCACCGGTCCTTGGCGCGGCCCAGCTCGTCCAGGGCGGCGCGCAGCTGCTGGTCGTGGCGGGCCAGGCGCTCGGCCTGCGCGCGCACCGTGCGCTCCGCCGCCAGCAGCCGCGTCTCCAGCTCCGCCGCGCGCCGGTGCACGGCCGCCAGGTGCGCGTTCGCCTCCCGGATCTGCAGCGCCGGCGGCGCAGACATGATCGCCGGCCGCCGCGCAGGCCCCGCCCCACCCCGCCCGGCCCCGCCCAGCGCGCGGGAAGGCCCCGCCCACAAACCCACCCCCTCCGGCGCCATCCTCTCAGGCTGCGGCCGCATTCATTTAAACCCTCTCGCGGCCCCGCCCTACCCCGAAGCTAACGTCGTGGCCACGCCCCCCCAAGGAAGCCACGTGCCTTCCCCTTGGACTCTCGCTATTGGACACGTTCCTACGAGGGGCAGACCTAAACACGGCCACGCCCCTTAGGCGCCACTGGAGTCCCTTTGGCGCACGCCTCCGAGCCCAGCGAGGACTTGGACCAGCGCAGAATAGGCCTTGATAGCCGTCAATTACGATCCTCACCCTACGATTGGTCTCTTTGCCGATAATCCCCGCCGCCCAGCCTGGCCACGCCCCCAAATAGTCGCACGCGGTTCTGATTCAGAATGCGCAAATAACCCCACCCCCCACTCGTTCTGGATCCCTGAGCTCTAGCAAATCCCGTGGAGTCCCGCCTTTGCACTGCGATTGGTGGACCCTCTGTCAATCTCGCGCGCCCGCCCCACGCTGCAATCGCTGTACTGCAATTGGTCGGCAACCTGTCAATCCCTTGGATGATGGGCTTGACATTCTCCGTGCTAGGAACGCCGTCTTAGCTGGGACGGGCTGCGTTTTTCTTCCTCGACAGCGGTGAGCCTCAGTTTACCATTCTTTCCAGGAATGCAGTCATGGGTGTCTCTGCCTAGACCCGCTCGTGGGCACGCGCGCGACACAGTTCCTACTGCGTGAAGGAAGACGTCCACGCCCAACCCGCTCCGCGTGCGTGCGCACAGGCTGTGTCTTTGTCCGCGGCGCTCAATAAAGTTGCGCGCTGGAAGCCTCGCGAGAGTTGGCCTTGCCGGCTGCCCTTGAGCTCGCCGCGGCGCGGAAGGGTGTGCGGGGCGAGCACGGCCAGGCGGAGCCATGGCCCGGCTGCTCCTCCAGGCCTACGATGAGATCCCCGACGGCACCCAGTGTCACCGCAAGACCTACATCACCACTGCGTTAGGCGGCCTCGTCGGTGAGCGCGGGCCCGAGGGCGGAGGGCACGCGGAGGTCAGGGGTACAGCGGTACAGGGCCCTAAGGTGCGGGAGCTTGAGGATTTTGCGGGGAGTAGACCCGTTTGCGCGCTGCCCCCTGGGACTTCAAGGCGTCAAAGGTCATTATCGGGGCGCAGAACCCGCAGAAAACGTGAAGGTCTTTTTAGGGTTGTGGGGTGATCGGGTCATTCGGGGTGTGGAAGGTGAGTTCCCGTGTAGCCGAGGATGGCCCTGAGCTCCTGGTCCTCATGCCTCAGCCTCCCAAGTGCCGGGATGACAGGGCTACACCCGGCTTAGCCTCTGGAAAATGTTTTGTTATTATTATTATTTGTGTCTGTCTTGAGGTTTTTCAGACAGGGTCCCACCGTGTATCCTAGGCTGGCCTCGAACTCAGAGCCATCTGTCCCTGCCTCCCGAGCTCTGGGATCAAAGGCGTGCGCCACCACAGGAGGTATTCATTTATTTATTTATTTTTATTTGTTTTTTGGTTTTTCCCAGACAGGGTTTCTCTGTGTAGCTTTGCGCCTGAGATATTTATTTATTTACTATTATTTTGAGACAAGATCTCCCTATGTAGCCCTGGCTGTCCTGAAACTCAAAGAAATCCTCCTGCCTCGGCCTCCGGGCAGTGGTGGCGCACGCCTTTAATCC